AGGGCTTTGCTTTATTATACCCATTATCTTATATACTCAACAATTTTGTGAAATAGATGCCACAAGTGTTACTAATCCCATTTTATAGATGACGTTCCACTACAACATTCTGTCTTTCAAGCTATTCTCAGCAATGATCAAATGAACAAGTTGTTTGCTAAATTCTCCCTTTACTTGGTGCCAAGAAGTAGATCTTAGACAGCTGGAAGTCTGCTTTCCATATACCTACCTCAGTCCAGCAGGAGGAAACAAGGGAAAAACCCAAGCCCCTTCACTCTTACACTATTAACACTGATGGTTTGTGCCAGAATTTCTGAAGCTTTTCCATTTTTGCATTTTCATAGGCATTTTGCTAAGTTTTAATGAATTTACCATTTTGTCTCCCTTCTCCCCCCAAGGCTTGTGGGAAAACCCTCCTCCCTCAATTCAGATTGTACTAAAACTCCCATTTTTTTCCCTGTAAAGGAAAAAGAAAAAAGAAAATAAAAAGTTACCCAGTATAAAATTATGTTTTAGGGATGTGAATATCATGGCTGACACAGTGGGTGGTACAGTCTTCCAAGCTTACATGAAACTTATATGAAGGACTGTCAAAATAACATGGAGGCAGGAACGGAATGGAAAGCAGAATGAATTTGAGGAGTCTAGGGAATATTAAGCAGTGTAGGATGGTAGGAGCAGCAAGAAAAGGAAAGGGGAGCATTCACCAATCAGAAATGAGCCAGCTGGAAAAGGTCTGAGAGCAAGGAATAGCCAGCTGCTTAGAGAGCAGTAGAGGGGGTAGGGAAGGGGCTGGGATTTTCTGTGGTAGCTAAAGGCTGGAAGCAAAGTCAGTACCCCTCACTTGGGGACTGAATGAAACACTCACATATCAGTGTCCAGACTGGTAAAAAATGAAAAATATGAGGAATTCAAAGAACCATGGGAAGATCTGCAAAACCAGGAGAATAGTATAAACATAAGGACTATAATGATATAAATGAAAGTCACATCCAAAAGGAGCTCAACTAGTATTAAATGCAAATATCGATTCAAGAAGACAAACAAAATAGACCTTCTTCCTATTCATAGTGCCAGAGAGTGGGGAGGGTTATCTACTGATGCCAAACATTGCATAAATGGTAACTTGGTGGTACAATGGATAGAGCACAGGACCTGGAGTCAGGAAGACCTGAGTTCAAATCCAGCCTCAGACATTTACTAGCTATGCGATTCTGGCCAAGTCACTTAAGCTCCATTTGCCTCAGTTTTTTCAAATGTAAGACAAAGATAAGAACAGCCCCCACCTCCCAGGGAGTTTGTGAGGATCAAATGAGATAGCACTTGTAAAGCACTTGGCACAGAGTAGGCGTTATATAAATGTTTCCTTCCTTCCTTCCTTTCTTCCCTCCTTTCTTACCTTTCCTTTCCTTCCTTCCTTCTTTCCTTCCTTCCCAATTCAGTCTTGGTGTTCATTTGTTTTGCTTGACTGTTTTTCTTTGTTACAAGGGAAGATTCTTTTAGGAGGGGAGGAGGAAGGAGGATATACCAGGCAATGATTATGGTGGAAAAAAAAAGGCATCATTAAAAAGTAAAAAGAAGGAGCATTGGATTTGAAGTCACAAGAGACCTTAATTCAAATTCTGGCTTTGATGTTTCTCCAGTGTGTGACTTTGGTTAAAATACTTCCCATCTCAGAGTCTCAATTTTCTCAAGTGTAAATAGTACTATAATGCCTTCTTTATGGGGTTGTTGAGGGGGAAGCATGTTGTAAGCCTTACTTAACACACTATTACACACACACACACACACACACACACACACATGCTATTATTGTTTTTTGGAATTTTGTTTAGGCATAAAGGCTCTAGACTGCAGAAAAGAAATTCAGATCTGCAAGACAGAACAGTATCTTCAAGGGTGTGCAAGAAAGGTGGACTGTTTTAAGGGAACTATGGAACAAGGTACTCAAAAGAGTGACAAAGCAGCCAGAGCAGGTATCATGAATCTTGAAGGAATGTGGTTTAATTTTGCAACCAGTTGTGTGGGGTTATGAGACAAGAGTCAGAAAGGACCTGGATTTCTTGAGAATCACAAGCACTGAAAGGGGGAAAAATACCCAAGACATCACTTTAACTTAAGATCGAAGTAAAACAGGAAATGAAAACACAGGTGCCTGTAAAACCTGGATGGCTGTTTTAAGCTGGGTCCAACTGGATCAGATACTTCCTTGTATGAAATGAATGGGGCAGCTAGGTAGTGCAGTGGATAGAGTACCAGGCAGGGAGTCAGGAAGACCTGAGTTCAAATGTGACCTCACACATCTACTTCGTGACCTGGGCAAGTCATTGAACTCTGTTTGCCCCAGTTTCCTCATGTGTAAAAGGAGCCAGAGAAGGAAATGACAAACTGCTCTAGAATTTCATCAAAAACCAAACCAAACCAAACCCAAATGGGGTTACATGCCTGAACAACAACAACATAGTGTGTGGGAGGATCTTGATGTACCAACGAGCTCTGAACCCTGCCCAGCCAGCTGACTGCTGTGTAGAGCTTAAGCCAGCTAGGTACACTGAGGTGTGCTGTGGCTACAGCACTAAACCTTACGTTAGGAAGACCCGAGTTCACATGGGGCTTCAGATACCTGTGCTGGTTCCTTTGCCTGCCTCAGTTTCCTCATCCATAATATGGGGTTAATAACAGCATGTACCTCCCAGGGCTGTTGTGAGGATCAAATAGATAATATTTGTAAAGTGCTTTGGCAAATTTTAAAGTGCTATATAAATACCAGCTAGTATTAATACAGAGGAGGAAGGAGGGAGCATCACAAAATACCTTCTTCCTTAGTCATTGGGTATCAGTATCCACCAATGGTAGGAGATGGGAAGTCTTCTGTTTAGAGGCCTGAGACCTTTTCATTTACATCTTTACATCTAGATTATTCTCCTCATTTTGCAAGTGTCCCCTTATTTCTCTAACTTCCCCAAATTTGTTATTTCTTTTTTTTTTCCCCTTGCTAGGCAATGGGGTTAAGTGACTTGCCCAGGGTCACACAGCTAGTAAGTGTTATATGTCCGAGGCCGGATTTGAACTCAGGTCCTCCTGAATCCAGGGCCAATGCTCTATCTACTGCGCCACCTAGCTGCCCCTAAATTTGTTATTTCTTACCACTCCAGTGTATTCCAGAACACTGATACATGACTGATTTTACTTCCGGCCTTTGGCCAACACAGAAAATCCAGCCCCTTTCCCATTCTCCCTGCTGCTCTCCAAACAGTGTTCATTTATCTTTTCCTATACTACCAGGCAAGTAAAAAGTAAAAATCTGAGATCCCAAAGAAGAGATCTCAGAAAGGACCATTCTCTGCCTTCCCTCTGCTGACTAGTCAGAGCTTTGCAAGGCAGGGACTGTTTGTGTGCCTTTATATTTGTATGCTTTTTTCTTCTTCTCTGACCACAAACAACACTAAGTCTATGACCTTTAAAATTTCACTTTACTTTGTTGTCTTTCAGATCCCTTTCTTTTGGGATTTGAAGAACACACAGGAGGTCACCTAGAGTCCTCATCTCACTGGAGATATGCTGTGCCAATAGCTGGAACACAGGACAAAGTCAAGGTAATGCTTGAGGGCAACGCTCCTGGCGTTATTTCATCTTTGCAAAAGGTCCTTCTCACTCACCCCTCCCCCTCCCCACAATCAATTGTATAGGTTGGACATTTGTAAGCTTGAAGATTTAAATAGGATTATGATTTTAAACTGAAAGTCATTTCAATTTAATTAAACGTGTTACTTAGGTAAATCCTGCTCTGGGTGTGTGCTCCTTCTTCTCTGCCCCAGTTGAAAAGCACTGTACCAAAGGGCAAGATGAAGTCAAGCAGTCAGCAGCAAAGTCCTTCTTACAAGCTGATGCAATTAGCTTCTCAGTGAAACCCCTCAAGTGTCAAAGTCCTCAGAAATCACCATTACCCTAGTTTCTCCAAGGGAGAAGGAGCAAAGTCCTAAGAACCAGTAAACAAACACTATGAAGTCCAAAGATAGCTCCCTTTCCCCAGCCTCTCCTGTATTATGTTCCCAGCTTTTATATTCCCTTCACCACCACCACCACCACCACCACCTCTCCCCCCAACCCCCTGCCCTCTTCTTCCCTGCCTCTTCCCCCCCCTCTTTGTCCCAGCAGTTTCTTTCCATCCTCTGCACAATCTACTTGCCTTGCTTCTAACTTGAGACCTTTAGGACATCTTCAAATCACACCTGATACTTGCCACATCATCATATATGGGAGTCTCTGTGCTTTAAGGCTGACCTCTGGTTCTTAGAGAATGCTGAGTGGTACATGCGTAGCAGCACTAAGTGAAGACCCCTCAAAACACAAGACCCCTCAGAACACAAGACCCCCTCCCCTTTCCTTCTCCCTCCCTTTTCTTAGATAGTGTTAGCCGACATTCCTGAGCCGTAAGAACATCCTATCTCATCCTCTAGATAGTTATATGACCTTGATAGTTATATGACCTTGGGTAAAACATTGCCGAGACTGTCCTCTTTGTCCTCTCTGTTGCTGGGGTAGTTTTTACACGAATAGATTGTATACCTGAGGCTCAGCCAATAAGCTGACGGGAAGGGGGTTAGGGTGGGCTGCTGCATTAGGGTCTATATATCCTTGCTTTAAACAAAGAGCACTCACACTCTTGGGCTGATGCCAGCTTAGGCGGTACGGGAGTGTCCTTTCTCGAGAAACTCGATAAAGAGATTTCTCCTTCTTGCAAACTTTTGTCAAGACTCTGGTTTTAATTTGGGCAGGTGATCTCTGTCCCACACGGGACATCTTCAAATCACACCTGATACTTGCCACAGCATCATATATGGGGGTCTCTGTGCTTTAAGGCTGACCTCTGGTTCTTGGAGAACGCAATGCTGTATCATAAGCTATGATACGGTGAGGCTTGGCATCCGGGGGATCCCACGGTGCCCCCACCCTATCATGCTCCAGAGAGACAAAGAGGTTCTAAGGTCAGTGCTTACCATCACCCCGTTCATATTCCCCCAGTACAATATACAGGGACCCTGGCTGGGCTTGGAACGGCTCCACCAACTTGGTGCAGATGTGGACCTGATGCCGGGCCGATTCATGCTGAGCAACTAAAGTAACTCTGGACCGAACTATATCATAACAATGGAACCTGAAATTTAGGGAAAGGAGAATCGTTACCACCTCCAGTTTAAAAGGATAGTCTGGAAAACAAACTGCACAGAAGGAAAAATGAGAACCGTACTCACCTGCCAAACGTTCTCACAGTTTCTCCTTCTGGGACTATACCAGAACTGATCTCCCAAGGAAAGTAATAGATCCCAGCTCTGGGGAGCATCTTTAGCACCTATAACCAGACAGGGTTTGAAGACCTCAGTTAATCTGCAAGAAACAAAAGATGCAATGTTGTAAAAGCCTGAGACTTGCACACATGACTGGCTAGAAGCGCTGCCACGAGAGAATGAATTTTAGACATCTGGAGCCCTCCCCAACCTTTCCTCTTTTGATGTTTGGTTCAGTCCATTTTATCAAATTCAATGAGCGCTCGTTGAGCCCCACTATATGCCAAGCACAGCTAGATTGTGCAACAGACAGAGTTCAGGGCCTGGAGTCAGGAAGATTCATCTTCCTGGGTTCAAATCCAGCTTCAGACACTTACTAACTGTATGACCCTGGACAGGTCACTTAACCCTGTTTGCCTCAGTTTCCTCATCTATCAAATTTGAAATTAAGTTTAACAAAAAAATGACAAAATGTCCATGCCCTTTGACCCACAAACACCACTACTAGCCATATACCCCAAAGAGATCAAAGATAGAAAGATCCCACATACACCAAAACATACGTAGCAAAATTTTCTGTAGTTGCAATGAACTAGAACCAAAGTAGTCACTAATCAATTGGGGAACAGTGAAACAAATCAAATAGTAGTACATAATGGTAAGGAATACTACTGCTTTGTAAGACACTGAATGCAGACAAGTATGAGAAAACTTCTATGAATTGCTGTAGAATGAACTAAACAAAACCAGGAAAACAATATGCCCAATGACAACAAGGTAAATGGAAAAAAGAACAAAAACCCCAAATTAAATAGATGTATAGTTATAATGAGCAAACTTGGCCCCAAAGAAGAGATGAGTAAACTCGCCTCCTTCTGTGAATGTGCTGCCAGCTCCAACCATGAGTCAGGTTATACCCTGGAAACTGACCAACATTACAAATCAGGGCTTGATTTATTGTTCTGTTGATTGTCTAGACTTACGAAAGTGATGGAGAAAATGTTAGTAATGCAGATTAAACTTAAATGCTTTTGTCTATACAATTTTTTACCAGCACATCCCTGCCTCCCTCCTTCCCTTTGCAAAGATGGAGGACTACATGTGGGAAACACTGCCTACACTGTCAGACTTGATGGTACTGATCGTTGAACTTTCTCCCCCTTTCTTAATCTATTGTTACAAATTGAAGGCAACTTGTTGAATAAGAGAGCAGGGACACATTCGGGTATGAATATGATGTGAAAACAAGAAATATTAATAACAATTCAAATTAATTTTTTAAAAAGGAACCTCTCCCCCTTGCCAAAAAAAAAAAAACCCAAAACTGAGCTCCTTAAAGGCAAAGACTGTTTATTTTAGTATTCCTAGAGACCAACATAATAATAGCTGACATTTAAATAATGCTTTAAGATTGGCAAAATATTTTGCATATACTAGTTATCCCTTCCACATCACTGGGTTTAGAACTCCTGTCATCTGGAAAATCCTCCTAAAAAATTTTGGCCCTCTCTTTGTTGTGGTCTAGGGGTGCTGGGAACCCCAAAATTCAAGGGTAAAAGGCATTAGTCTTGCCTGGAAAGAATTCAACTCAAGCCTTCTTTCAGTTAAAGACAAGGTTTATTGTTTCGCCAATAGGAGCAGGCCAGACTCTTAAGGAATCTGAGCAATTTCATGACAAGATGGACCTTTACATACAGAAAGACTGTGAGAAGATCTGGATATGATCAAGAAGTGGTCAATAGACTGGGAGGTAATAGAGAAGGAGTCTAGATTGGAATTAAGGAGTGGTGAAATAGCTTGAGATGGGGCCAGCTGCAGACAATGAGGGTTACAATGAAAGGGCAGTCAAAAGGATTATACTGGGATGAGATGGGTGTCTCAGGCAAACCCAGAGACTTGACTTAGGGGCTTTGGGGTCCTTTTAGGAGTCCAGGGCAAAACCTTCATACCAGAGAAAAAGTCTGAATTTTTTTCTTTTTCTTTTATGTGGTGTTTACACTATTTTCCTGTAAAATCTGGGTTAAGTATTTGGTCACAGCCTACATTATACAATACTACACATATATTTTATGTATTTCTGAGCTTCTAAACTTTTTCTTTGTCATCTGCTGGCCTTCACATGTTGTCTAGGCTTTCACAAAACTCCCCAAAATTCCCATTTAATTTCTTATGTCAACTGAGATATAGTGAAACCTCGATGGAAAATATCACAAAATAGAAGGTTTAACCGTACTCATTTGGCCTTATGACTATAGTTGCTATTATTATCACCATTTTAGAAATAAGGAAACAGAATCAGGCTAAGTGACTGATCTAGGATCCCAGCGCTAGCAAGAGTTTAGTGTAGGTATTCAACTTGCTCTGTATAGCAGTGATTTAAGCTTTGTTTGCCCTGCCACTGCACTTACAACCTGTACAGAGATAAATACAAAGGAATTGGAGGTGAAAAGAAGCGTTAAAAGTGGAGTATGGGTCCATTCCCCTCACATACTTTGTGGGCCTAAGGAGTGAGAAACGTATATTATGTCAGATTTTTTTCAACATATTGATTGGTTTTTCTGATTTTTTTTTCTATTTTCATTTTTTAAATGTTTTTGTTGCAAGGGTTGGTTGTCTGGGAGGGGATAGGGGGTAGATGGATGGGAAAAATCTAAGCAATATAAAAACAAAAAGTATCCATAAAAATCAATTTAAAAAGAAAGGTTTTGAAGTGTCTGTAGAATTACCAATAAAGGATAAAACTATTTTCACTTTTTTTTTTAACGGAGGGGGTAGGGAATCCAGGGAGTCTTCACAGAGAAAGTGTCAGAAATGGATTTTGGGAGAACATAACTGACTCCATTCTCCACTGTATCTGCCACTTTTCCCCCTTTTTCTGGGTGATATGGAATGTACTGATTATCTGCTTCAGTACTTCCCTTCCCCCATTCACTTTACAGTTACAAAAGAAAATTCATAGGACTTTGAACAATTCCAGGAACTCATCCATTTCTCTTTATTTTACTTAATAAGGCACATAATAGAAGCTAATTGACTAATAAAGAAAATACTGTTCTCTGTAAATAGCTATACTAAACAGTTTAAGCATCCTTTGTCTTTCCTAAAAATATACCTTTTCCTGTCTCCCAAAAAATGATCTTACCCAAAATTACTTTGTAAGCCTGCTTCCCTGACCTACCTCATTTTACCCATCAACTCTCTGGGTCAGATAGCTCAGGAAAAGAGATGATATAGATAATAGATAGATATAGACATAGATAAGGAGATAGAAATAGAGATATGGATAGGTATGTTGTGGTTGTTTTATCATTTTCAGTCCTGTCGTACTCTTTATCCCATTTGGTGTTTTCATAGCAAAGATACTAGAGGGGGTTTGCCATTTCCTTCTCTACTTCATTTTACAGATGAGGAAACTGAGGCAAACAAGGTCAAGTGACTTGCCCAGGGTCACACAGCTAGAAAGTATCTGAGGCCAAATTTGAACTCAGGTTTTCCTGACTCCAGGGAGGGCACTCTAATCATTGTGCCACCTAGGTGATAGATATGTATGTATATACATCTATGTGTATGTGTGTGTGTATATGTGTGTGTGTGTGTGTGTGTGTATGTACACATACATACACATACATAATCTGTGGAATTGTGAGGCACATATATCCAACAACAACTGATGCAGTGGGTCACACTCTAGTGGATAAACTGCGATATACCCATCTAAACTGCGCTGGCTTATTTGTACAGCAGCTCGCAAGGACCCTAAAAATTCTTTTTTTTTTTTTTGCTTTTTTTTTTTTGGTGAGGCAATTGAGATTAAGTGACTTGCCCAGGGTCACACAGCTATGTCAAGTATCTCAGGCTGGATTTGAACTCAGGTCCTCCTGACTCTTAAGACTGGAGCTCTGTCCACTGTGCCACCTAGCTGCCCCTGACCCCGAAAATTCTTGCAAAAAAAGTGACACTTGAGAGGAGCCTTGAAGGATGATAAAGGTGATATAAAATCAAAAATAGCTATAAAAAGTTTTTTAAAAATAAAGGTCATATGAGGAATTCAGAAAAACATAGGAAGACTTGTATGTACTGATGCAGAATGAAAAAATTGAACCATGAACACAACGACTACAACAATGAAATAAAGCTGAACTCTTAAGTAACTGAAAAACCAGTAATGGACGGCAAGAACAGATTATGAAATAAATCTACCTCCCAATTTTGACAGTGAGGTGGGGGATTAGTAGGATAGAATGTCTTCCTTTAAGTTCCAACTAAAATCTCACCTCCTACCTGAAGCCTTCCCCAAACCCTCTTAATTACAGTGCCTTTCCTCTGTTAATTATTTCCTGTTTATCCCATATATAGCTTGCTTTGTATAGATTTATTTTCAGGTTGTTTCCCCCATTAGATTATAAGCTCCCTGAAGGCAAGTACTGTCTTTTGCCTCTTTCTGTATCCCCAGTACTTAGCACTTTGGAATAGTAGGCACTTAATAAATGTTTATTGAAAGAATGATTGAATAAATGTTGCACAAGTGGTCAGACTCAGTCACATTATCAATTGTTTTTGCTTAATTATTTTCCTTTGTTACAGAGGAAGACTGAGTTTTAAGGGGAAGAGGTGGTTGGAGAGGGAGGGGAAGGGTTTATTTGGAAATTACACTCATAAAAACAAAAAGGCATCAATAAAAGGGTTTTTTTTGTTCGTTTGTTTTAAGGAAGTTCATAGTATTACCTGAATCTTTCTCTGAAGTTCTCAGAAGACTAGGCTAGGCTTACTGTTGGGTGCAGAGAGAAGGGACCCATCCCAGTTGAGAGAACCTCTCCCTTTTTCAGGCCACTGCTACTGAAAAATCTCCTCTAATATTAAATATTATGAGAAGTAGAGAAAAGAAAAGGTTGCTTTGGAAAACCATAAGCCACTGACTTGCCTAAAGACAGGAGGGCATACCTCAGAAAACAAGGCTAAATCACTGGTTAAGGTAAACACAAAATAATAAATCAAGGAAGAAACATTTAAAAAAAAGGCTTTATTCCATATTGAGCAGTCTGGAAAGTACAATTATAATATAACTTTCAGAAGGACATTCTCTACCAACACAGGATGTCTTGCATAGTGTGTTGTTTTTGACAATGGACATGTGGTAAGCTCAGTTTTTATAAACCGAATCGTCAGAGGGCAAAGTGAAGAGCCCTGTAACAAAAAAACCATGCCCTGATTGTTTTTTAAATGTAAGAATTGTACATCTCTAAAAAAGCCCTGAAATGATTAACTTTCCACTGTTCTTTGTCATGGTCAGAAAATGGGCATGATAGAAAGTAAAGAAATAGGATTGCTGTTGTTACTGTTCAGTTTTTTTCAGTAGCGTCCAACTCTTTGTGATCCCATTTGGGGTTTTCTTGGCAAAGACACTGGAGTGGTTTGCCATTTCTTTCTTCAGCTCATTTAACAGATGAGGAAACTGGGGTGAAGTGACTGGCCCAGGGCAACATAAATTAGGATGTGTCTGAGGCCAGATTTAAAGAGTCTTCCTGACTTCTGGCCCAACATTCTATCCACTGTGAAATAGGATTATAACATTCTTACGAAAGTTAGTTGACACAGTCTTTGATCCAGTCATTAAAAATTCTCTGGGAGAGTTCACAACTCACTTCTTTATCTTCTTAACAGTGCTTATGGCAAATTCACAGAACAATAAATAAAGCACATTTTCAAGATTGCACAACAGCAAAGCATCATCACCTAGCTTGTCCAGATGCCAACTAGAATAAAAGGGATACAGGGGGGAGGGCAAAGATGACTGCCTCAAGAAAGAAATGTACCGTATTTTCCACTCTGACTTCCTATGCAGCAATGTAACATTAAAATAATCATAATGTTAATTGACATTTACCTAGGAATAGAGGCTGGACCTGTGATTTACTTCAGAAGTGTAAGGTGCTTCTCTCCCAATGCAGGTCAGTGTCTTCTCTGCAACGTATAGTCTTAGTTACCCAGAGCATTAAGAGATTTAGTGACAGCATGTTATCAGATGTGGCCCTTGAACTCAGGTTTTCCTGGCTCTGAAGGAAGACAGCTCTCTATTCACTTTGCCAAGATGGCATTCAAAGCTATTAACATAGCACTTTAAAGTCTGCCAAACATTTGCTGTCTTTAAAAACCCAGTAAAACTTCACTCATTTCAAAAAGTTCAAATTCTAAATATGTTTTAATGAAAGACAATTTTAGGCACTTCTTGTCTAGTTATTCCTTTGTTTAGTTATTCAACAGGCATTTATTTATTTATTTATTTATTTATTTATACATTAGTCATGTTGTAAAGAAGAATTACAACCAAAGGGAAAAACCACGAGAAAGAAAAAAAAAAGGAAAAATAGTATGTTTTGATCTGCATTCAGACTCCATAGTTCTTTCTCTGGAGGTGGATAGCATTTTCCATCATGAGTCTTTAGGAATTGTCTTAGATCACTGCGTTGCTGAGAAGAGCTAAGTCTATCAAAGTCGGTCATCGTACAATGTTGCCTTTGCTGTGCACGATGTTTTCCTGATTCTGCTCACTTCACTCAGTATCAGTTCATACAAGTCTTTCCAGGTTTTTCTGAAGTCAGCCTGTTCATCATTTCTTACAGCACAATAGTATTCCATTACATTTATATACTACAACTTGCTCAGCCATTCCCCAATTGATGGACATCTCCTCAATTTCCAATTCCTGGCCACCACAAAAAGAGCTGCTATAAATATTTTTGTACATGTGAGTCCTTTTCCCATTTTTATGATCTCTTTGGGATACAGGCCTAGAAGTAGTATTACTGGATCAAAGGGTATGCACAATTTTATAGCCCTTTGGGCATAGTTCCAATTGATCTCCAGAATGGTTGGATCAATTCACAACTCCACCAACAATGCATTAGTGTTCCAATTTTCCCACATCTTCTCCAACATTTACAATTTTCCTCAATAGGCATTAAATGTCAACTGTGCAAAGCACTGGGCCAAGCACTAAGATAGAAAATTCTATCTTGCCCTATGAGAGCTTAGAGTCTAGGAGGGGGACCATTATCAATCATCATCATAAATGACATTTACATAGTGCTGTAAAGGTTTGTGAAGCACTTTCCATCACATTATTTCATATTTTGCAACAATCTTGATAATATAAATCCTAACAACTAAGGGTATTTTGGGTGCAGATCTGATTTTATCAGTGCAAGGAATTCTAGTTGGAGGAATTCTCTCTTCAATGCAGATCAGCAACTCTGTAATTTATCATCTTAGAGAGTTGCCTGGGGGGTACTGTGGTTCATCCTTCATTTGGAAGAGGGCGGATGACTTCATAGGGTAGCCTGGGGTACTGAGAGGTCCTAGGGTCAAAACTCTTGTATGTTTCAGAAGCCTGGCTTGAAACCAGGTCTTCCTGACTCTAAGGCCAGCCACCATGACAATGCATTTCAAAATCCCCATTTTATAGATAAGAAAATTGAGGGTCAGAGGTTACCTGACAAGCCCATAGTCATGCCATTTGTACCAGGGATGAGAAACTGACTCAAAATCCAGCTTCCCTAGGTACAGGTAGAAGGCTGTTAAAAACTTGTGGGATTAAGGAAAGAATTTGTGGAGGTAGCATTTGCTATTCATACAATAAAGTTCTAAAAAAGTAAACAAAGTATAATGCAAAGAGTGCTGGATTTGGAGGCAAAGACTTAGAGTTCAAGCCCTGCTCTTTCTATGACTTTATGCAAGTCCTTTCAATTCTCAGGGTCTGTTATCTCATATGTGAAATGAAGGTGCTGGCCTCTATGATCTCTAAACTCTTCTAGCTCTACAGGTCTATCTTGAGAGCAGGGTCCAGGAGCCTTGTATCCCAATGCCTTTGTATATGTACTTTCTCAAGTACTCAAATGAATGTCTGATTAATTAGGGAATTCCAGGGATTCAGGTAACAACCTGTCAATGCCTGCCCATCCTCATTCATGTCCTCCCATAAATTCACCACAAAAGGTTCACCTGGAGGCCTTCCACATTTTCTCTTGACATTCATTTCAAAGGTGCCAGTGAAGCAAATTAGCTGACTACATGGGATCCCTCCTTTTCATCACCTGATCAGTCATCTTTTTTTTTCTATCACACAGTTCCTTGATGACCATATTGTTACAGCCTGCTCTCATCCATATGTCCCTTTTTATTACCCTCTTTATGATAGTCATTTAAAATTCTTCTGTTGTTCAACAGAAGCAGCTTTATTTCATGTCTCACTTTCACATAGCAGCTTTGTAGTGGGGAGATGTAGAGAGAGAAAAAGCATTTATATAGCACCTACTATATGCCAGGCACTATGCTTTTTTAAAATAAATATTATCTCATTTGATCTTTATAAAGATCTTCATTTGATCTTTACCTTATGAGGCAGGTGCTATTACCATCCACATTTTACAATTAAGAAAGTGACTTGCCCAGGTCACACAGCTAAGTTCTGAGGCTGGATTTGAACTCATATTCTCCTGATTTCAGGCTCAGTACTCTATTCATTATCTATCCATTACTACCAGCTGCCACTGACAACCTTTAAGAAAATGTTTAGTGGGGCAATATGATTAAGTGAGAAATATGAACTCAGAATTATAAGATGTAGCTTTCGAATCCTGGCTTAACCATCTGGAATCCATGTTCTTCTTTTGCAAGATGAGGGCATGGTACTAGATCATCTCTAAGATCATAGGATTATTCATTTAGAACTCAAAGGCACCTTAAAGGCCATCTAATGGCATCAAACTCAAACAGAAATGGAGTCACTAAACAATACATAAGGATCCCTGAAGGGGAATAATTGATTTAGAAAACCTGAATGTTAACATTATCTTCCATTGTATTTTTATTTTGGTAAATATTTCCCAATTACATTTTAACCTGGTTCCTTTAACACTCAGAGTGTTGCAAGCCAGGTCTGTGTTTGAGGCCTGGGATGGGTTGTCAATTCCCTCATTTTATAGGTGAAAAAGTTTAGGCCATGGAAAGTTAAGTGACCTGCCCAATGTCACACAGATAACTGATAGCAGCACCGGGATTTGAACCCAACCCTTACTTCAAATGAAGCATTCTTTCCACTGAACCCAGTGTCCCTTCCAGCCTTAAATCCCTCTAACCTTCTTCTCCACCACGTCTAACGGATATAAGTGTAGGATGACATTAAGTCGTCAAAGAATTATTTATTACTGCTTTCTTCCTTAGGTACAGTCCTAAGCCCTGGTGTACAAAGAAAACCATAAGACAGTCCCTGCCCTCAACGTGCTCACATGCTAACGAGGTAAACAAGTTGCAAAACCCTGCCGCAGGTACATGACATATACAAGGTAAATGGGAGGTATTCTCGGAGGGAAGGCCCTAGTGTTGAGGGGGATCTGGAAAGACTTCTGGCAGAGCATGTTTCTAGGACTGACTCTAGAAGGAATCGAGGAGCTCGAGGTGAGAAGGGAGAATTTATACTTTTCGGCGCCCAGGAAATTCACAGCACCACTCATTTAAAAAAATAAAATGGCTCCGAGGCCAAAGCTTCTTCCCCCTTGCGAGAGCAGAGTACCAGAGGACCCGAGAACAGCACCGAAAGATCCCGGCCTGTGCTCCATCTGGGGAAGGTCAGCTCCTCCCCAACTTCCGCCACGCCTTTCTCCTCGGACTTCCGGGGGCGGGGCGGGGGAAAGGCCAGACCGAGGCTCCGAGGCGCAAGCGCGGGGTCACTCTCTCCCCTCGTCCCTCTCCCGCCCCCGTCCCTATCTTCTCACCTACCTGTCTAAGTTTCCCACAGTCGTAGCCTTCCGCAGTGGCGGGGGGGGGGGGGGGGGTAGATGTGTTGGGGGGAAGAGAACTTTCCCCACGTGAACGAGAGCACACCACGTGACGGAAGCAAAGCAGTCAGAGGCGGGAGGCGGGAGGCAGCATGACGCTGTGCCACACGTCCGGGCCTGCGTGGCGGAGGCGAGATGAGGCGGGGCCCTTTGCCCCACGTTCCACCCACAGCCCGGCTTCCACTCCTCGAGCGAAAGAGCTGTGCTCCGACCTTCTCCCCGCCCCCGTTCTCTTCCTCAGGGGCGGGCGGAGCTCCGCTCTCGTTGGGCTAGGACCGTCCCGGCTCCCCGGTGCAGGGCCGCGGTCACGTGCCACGGGTGGGGGCGGACGCGGGGCGGTGCTGCAAGTCTTAGGGGCCGGCCTTGGTTCTGGCCGGAGACTCGAGCCCTAGAAAGGAGAGAACAGGCTGCCGAAGCCGGGGACTTCTGATCGTCGTCACCTTCTGCCCCATCGCCGCCTTTACCATGAACCCAGACTTGCGCAGGGAGCGGGACGCTGCCAGCTTCGATGCGGAAAAACTCACTTACATCCTGGATGGGGGCTCCGAGAGGACCCGGCGCCGCCGGGAGATCGGTAAGAGCGGCTGGGCGGGACCCCAGGGGGCTGCGGGGGCTCGGGGTGAGCTTCCCTGCAGGGTAGCCGGGGCTGGGGGGAATTACGACGAAGGGACTCACGTATGAGAGCCGAGCTGGTCGGGTTTTCCTTCGGCCCCTGGCGCTCTGGGCATCAGATGGGAGTGGCATAGGTCAGGCCCCCGCCCCAGTACTCGGGTATGCCCCTATGGCTTCCCAGGAATAGTGGGGAACCCCTGCTTGTAATCGGCTTTCAGCTTTTCTGTCTCCTGCCTTCCTTGAAGCCTCAGCTAAAACCCCATCTTCTGCTAGAAGCATCTCCAGAACCCCCATTAATTCTATTGCCTTTCCTCTGTAGATTGTCTCCAGTTTATTCTACATGTATTTGTCCGTGCATAGCTGTTTGTATGTTGTCTCCCCCATTTAAGAGCCGGAACTGGCTTTTGCTTTCTTTGTCATTCCCTGAGTTTAGCATTTAAAAACGCCTCTTTCTCTATCTCATGAGGAGATGGTAATGGGTTTCTGAATTTTGTGTCTCCCCACCCTCACCCCCCCTTCCAAACTTCAGAGAACCTGATTCTGAATGATCCGGACTTTAAGCATGAAGACTTGAATTTCCTTACCCGGAGCGAGCGCTATGAGATAGCTGTCAGAAAGAGTGCCACAATGGTGAAGAAGATGCGAGATTTTGGCATTGCTGATCCTGAAGAGATCATGTGGTTTAAAAAGTAAGTGTTCGAGTAGTAGAGATCTGAGAGCTTAAACTGCTCTTGGAATCTGTGCTTTTCTAATCCTTAGCTCTTCTAGATCAGTGTTGGGTGCCTGTGTGTGATTACTCTTGGATCTATGCTTTTCTAGTTCTTAATCTTATAGATCAGATAGCTCTCAATCTTGTAACCTTTTTTGGCGTCATATCTTCTGACGGTACCAGGGTAATGTTTTTGAACAGGCATTTTTTTTAAAAGCAGTTGGGGTTAAGTGACTTGCCCAGGGTCACATAGCTAGTGAGTCTGAGGTCGGATTTGAACGAAGGTCCTCCTGACTCCAGGGCCAGTGCTTTATCCAGTCCTCTGCCTAGCTGCCCCCAGAATAATGTTTTCCCTTAACTTTGCGTTGTATTATTCTTCAAAGGCATAATAATTGTTAGAGGCATTGTGGAACTGGATTTAGAGACCTGGGTTCAAATGCTGCTTCTGACACTCACCTATCTGTGGACCTTAAACAAATCACTTAATGTCCAGGGACTTTATGTTCCTCATCTTGAAGGAAAAAAATATTGGATTATGAGTTCTGAGGCCTCTTCTACCTTTGACCTTACATTAGCATGGAAACATTTTGGAGACTTGTCGATTGATAGAAATTTTTCAATTCTTACTTTCAGGTATCTGTTATTTAAAAGGTACACTTTGATCACAGCTTCTTGGTTTTTTAGAGATTTAAGCCCCTCAAAAAGGCCTCCCCTGCCTTGAAAATTTTGGGGGATTTCTGGTAGTGAGCCCAGAAACAACACATGGTAGCAAGAACGTTCTTGAGAAACTGAAATGTGAAGTTTTTATTTTGTCTTGTTGCAGGTTGTGGCATAAGCTTTTGTAATGGTAATACATTGCTCTTGTCAAAAATCTTTAAAAAAGTGTATTGATGGGAAGACCATTAACTCATAGGCTTAAATAGAATTAATGGAAAGTATTCTAAGAATTGAACACTGTTACAGTTGGTAGTGGTTATTTACATGGAATTCATTTTATATGTAGGCTGTAAACAAAATCTGCTTTGCTGATAGAGGCCAAACATATACTTTGTTATTAGAACCCCAGTGTTCTTTGTTTTGTGTGGGGGTGTTTTTTTTTTAAAGAAATAAAACAGGTTTAATGTTTTCTGATTCATTTCTGGCTAAGTAGTGTTCTAACTTAATAATGTGTGGTTGTTTATAGTTTATTTGGTTCATAGGAGTCTCATACTCAATAAATTTTCCCTTTCATAGTAGTAAATATTTTTGAACAGTCAAGATATTTGTGTCCTAGGAAATCCATATTTTAAAAAAAAAACCCTGATAGAAAATATACAGTATATTTAAGTTCTCCTTTTTGTAGTACCTATATTGATTAGTTACTTAAAGGTGTTATTGTAAGTCTTTATTTTTTACATCTTGTGTTACTCACATAGTTCCTGTGGCCTAGGAAAGATTATGAGGGACAGTACTGATAGCTGAAATTTAGAGTTGAAAGAGACCTTGGAGATCATTTCGCTCAACTCTCTTATTTGACAAGTAGGAAAACAGACTGAGAAAGAATCAAGTGACTTGCCCCAAATTAAACAGTCAATCTCATGGTATTGCTAGGATGACAAATCAGAGTCATATAAAGTTTATGGCAACAGGAGCATGCATAAAGCAGAGGCCATGTATGCCAGACACAAGCTAAGGTAACCTTTCTGGTTGATTCTTCCCCTGAGAGGAAAAGGAAAGGCTAGCAACAAAGCTCCACCTACAATGTGCCTGCATAACCAGACACCCTTGACCCCTGTTCAGTGCCCAGGCACATGTGGCAGATCTGCCGAATTCTACTTGAGTGCTCTTTCTAGCACATCATACTTGAAGACATTCTAAAGAACCCTTCATAACAATTCTGATAATGTCAAACTTTCCTCCCAGCAGAAAACATTTAAGCTTAAATAGTAAAATCTTGTGCATTTATATACCTTTGGCAGAATTTAAGCCAAAAAAAAATTACATATTGAAATCCTTTCATCTACATCTGGTTTGAGATATGTCATATGCTTCATTTAAAGTCAGAAAATTAAAAATGAAATAGGAATTTAGCAGTTTAATCACAAATATACTTCATAGGTATTCTTTGAGTGGATTATACTACAGCTTTATCAGATGGCATATTAAAATGAAATAATTTGTAATTTAGAAGTGATTTGAAGTTCTAATAAACACGTTTCCTGTGAATTTTCCATTAAAAAATAAATCTCGTGTCATTTATAATGTAATATGTTTAACATTGTACAAAATAATAGTATTTTGGCCTCTGAAAGAGGTCTCTAAATCCATCCAGGGATCTTTTCACTATATCTGAAATTTGAACTTTTCTAGATAATCCAAGTTGGAGTATCACTCACATGCTTTTAAATGCTCCTTTTATTTTGATAATTTGTATGTCTAATGGCTATGGAGATAGTGAAGAAGAATATCTAGATGTGAACTAGTAAATTACATTTAACTTTGAGTCAGTTGTAATAATATAAAATATTATTAACCCCTGTTTATCAGGTAACATTTAAAATGACAAATCAGATACTTCTAGAGAGCTGGCTTGTATTTTTTTGAGTGAAAGATGGTGTATCCAAATCAGTCTTGACAAAGATTCATTTCTTGTAATTGTAAATATAACATAGAACCAGACTCAAGTGAAGTCATAATGAAGTACAACGAAGTCCTCCATTTGGTAGGAAATATCATTTTTCCTGTGTATCATGTTTCACTTTAAATACTAAAAGGTTTTTTTTTTAATCATCATGGTGATATTTGTGAGGGACTTCACCTTCATTTATATTAGAGGAGATTGGAAATAGGAAATTTTGTCAATAATTCCATTCTTGAAGGGTGTTGGACAAGTCAACTGCTGGTATTCTTTGTATATTAGTTTCTCCTCATACGGCAAGAATTGTTATGCTTTATAAGAATATTACATGTGCAGTGTGAATATTTGTAAAATATTTTCTTTTTTTTGTAAAATATTTTCAAATGGTCATATAATAAGGGCTATTTGAACCATCACTTGAGAAAATAGACTATCGTGTAGGGAATATTAGAAAAACAATTTCATTTTTTCCTCTAAAATTTTCCTAACAATCATTTCTGCTATACAAAGAAAACACACTCACTGAAACTCAGTTTTCTAGTTTGATATCTTTAAACTTCTGTGATTGTGATTTTCCTTTTTCCTCTTAAGTATAAATTGAATTTGTAATTTAAGTTTCATTTTAGAGTAGTAGTTGAGAAGTACCAGTGGCTCTCTGTTCCTTATATTAGGATTTCGAATAGGTAGCTCTTTTCATTTTAGATGTCATGCATATTTACTACCAGATGTGGAGATGCCTTATTCATTGTCATTATGTCACCATCAATTCTAGAAGTCCCAAAAGAATATATTGAAATATTTTACCCACTTTGTTCCTTCATGAAGAACTGTGATCAACATTTCAAACGAAGGCCACTATCCTTTTCATTTAAGTTACTACTCTTATTTGTGAGGATTCCTTTCAGATTTACATTCTTGCCTAGATTTTTGTGGAGAGCGATTTAGGAATTACCAACTCTTGTAAGTCTTGATGTCGTTAGCTATTAGAATCCTTCTTGTTTTTGAGATTGATTTATGAATTCATGCTCCCCAATGAGATTTTGGTGTTTAGATTAATTAAGTGCTGTTGGTGAAATTGATGACCAGATGGGGAAAAGACACTGGATTTGGCATCAGAAGACAGGTTTGTCACAACTCTGGAACTTAATTAGTTGTGGTAACCTTGGGGAAGTAACTTTATCTCTGGGCTTGAGTTCCCACATATATGGCATTGAAGGGGGTAGACTAGATGAGCTCTAGGATCTCTTCCAACATTAAGATTATGTAATTCTAAATTATGCTGTTGTTAACCCAAATAACTCTGGCAGTGAATTAACTCCTTTTCTTCCTTCTCTCCCCACAAATCACATTTGATCTTTGGTGGTATTCAGGCATTTTTAATTAGTGCATTATAATAAGCAGCTCATTTTATTGTTTTGTTGGCACAGAAACAGGGTTTGGCATCCAGAATTCAGTTATTCAGTTAGACATCTGTAATTTTTGGGTTATATGCATTTAGATTATTGGGATTGAGGAATATAGAATTAGTGTAGAAATTTATTCAAGTGATTGAGATTGTCATGTTATTGGGATAGAAAAAGTAAGTGAGGCATCCTGGTAAAGAGGAGTGAGCAGTAGGTTTGGAGTCAGATGACTCTGTTTGAATCTTAACTTTGCTTCTGTGTGACCTTAGGCAGGTGTCTAAACTTCACCTGGCTTCTGCACTCAGTCTAAATTCCCTTCATTTCTAAATCCTGTGATCCTGTAAATTTGTGTATTGCTTCACTTGGAGAAATAAGAATGATGATGGATCATTATTCTTGATACCTTCCCTAGTAATGGGGATGGTTTGATGCCTTCCTGTGAACAGTAACCCCATTTGATCTCTTTTCCCTTCAACAAATCCTCAAAATAAGAATAACAATCACTCCTATTCCTTTATTCAAGAGACATTTTAAAGAACATTTCTTCAGTTTTGTTTAATTCTTTAAGTTGGAGGTTGACAGCATTTTTACTGTATTGCTTTCAGTATTAGTGTTCTATAACAAAGGTTAATTGGTTTGTATGATTTGTTTCTGTGTTCAGAACTGAGGAGAAAGTTGAGATGAATTTGATTGCGATTCAGTTTCCAGGTAGACATAAGTAGTCTTGTTATATTTAATGCCAAGAGCACTGGGGATAGACTTATGAGATATTGGTGGTACTGTTTACCTCAGTAAGAATTTTTGTGTCCTGATACACTTTATGGGCACCTAGGTGGTGCAGTAGACAGAGTGCCAGGCTGGAGTCAGGGAGACTTATCTTGCTGAGTTCAAATCTGGCCTCAGACACTATCTGTGTGACCCTGGGCAAGTCACTTCACCCTGTTTGCCTCACTTTCCTCTTCTGTAAAACACTCTAGTATCTTTGCCAAGAAAGCTCCAAATGGGGTCATGAAGAGTCAGACACAACTGAACAACAAGAACAGTAAATATACTTTACCCCAGTATGTGCCTACGCTCATCATTGCCTTTGGTTACCTAGGCAAAGAAAGACTGAAAATAGTTGTTAGCCAAAACCAGATGAACACTTTGGAGGAATTTCTTTTGATCTTCTATGAAAATACTTTTTTCAGTTGCTATCTCATAGGAAGGATTTATTTTCAGGAACTAATCAAAAGCAGTTTTAAGAGGAAATCTCATCCTGAATTATTAACTAGGCTAAGAACAGAACTACCAAGATAACAAACACTAGGAGTTTCAACTGCAGGTTCATCAGGTTGTAAAATAATGAATGTGGTTTGTATGGAAAATAGCATTACTAAATTTGAAAGATAAAGGACAAAACTTTTATGACCTCATGGGTGAGAACTATTTGGAGAGGAGGTTGGTATATAGGAAAAAAATCTTTTCAGGCAGTTTCTACTAGAGTAAGGCTGAGATCCTTTTCTTTTCTCTCCTGTAGACCACAGTTGATCAATTTTGTGGAACCGGTTGGCCTCACTTACTCCATGTTTATCCCTACCTTGCTGAATCAGGGCACCACTGCTCAGCAACAGAAATGGCTGCCTCCAACCCAAGGACTCCAGATAATTGGCACCTACGCCCAGACCGAGATGGGGCACGGTTAGTCTTTATCTAGAGATCAGTAAGTGAAGCTATCAGAGGACTCTAGTTGATAGTGACTCTTGGCATTGTCCCCTTTCAAGTCTTATTTAAAACCAGACTTTAAAAATGAACTTTTATCTGTTCTTTAGTTTCTTGTCTATATCTAGTAATTTGTCAAGTATCCTTAAGTCTTATTTCTTGAACTAGTTTGTGGAGTAGTTTGTAAGAATAAGTGCTGATAATATTTAAAGGGTGATGAAACATCTTTATATGAGGTCAGGTCCTGCTATCATTCCTGCAGTTCTCCCCACCATCTAATGCCTTAACAACTTTGTTTAGTAGTCTTCCTGGAGCGTTGATGTCTCAGCAATGTAAGGCGATCGTTTACCCAGAAGAACTACTTTTTATTGTGCCAGGGATGCTGAGATTGAATAGGTGCTAGTAATGAAAACCTTATTATTTGTTAGGCCCCAAAGAGAGTTAGGAGTCAATCAGCAGGCATTTATTAAACTCTTACTATGTGTCAGGTACTGTGCTAAGTGCTAGGAACAGAAAGACAAAAAGAAGACAGTCCTTGCCTTCAAGCAATTTACGTTCTAATGAGAGAACCGTATAAATATATGAGTGTACACATATGGAATACAAGGTAACCTTGGAAGAGAAGGCACTAGGACCAAGAAAGGCCTCGTGCAGAAAGAAGGAAATGAGGGATTCCAGGAGATGGAGGTCTGATGGGAAGGCATTCCAGGTATGAGGGGCAGTCAGTTCAAAGCCGCAGAGATGGGAAATGGAATCTTACGTACGAGGAATAGCAAGTAAACCAGTCTGACTAGATTGTGAAGATTGTGGAGGAGAGTAATATGTAATAGGCTGGGAAGTTAGGAAGGAGCTAGGGTGTGAAGAGTTTTAAATGGCAACTAGGAGTTTATATTTGATAGATAATAGGGATCCACTGGAGTTTTTACTGAGTGTGAAGTGGGGAGGTGTTATACAGCAAGATCTGCACTTTGGGAAAATTACTTGGTCATCTTTCTGGAGAATCAACTGGAAATGTGAAAGACTGTAAGCAGTGACACTCAGAGGCTGTTTCAGTTGTGCTGGTGAGATAGGGGTGGTGACTGTGTGGGTGGTGAGAAGGGGAACTATGACAGATGTAGAGATAGAAACAAGATTTGGCAGCTGGTTGGATATGTGTGGTCACAGGAGTCAAGGGTGACACCGACGTTGTGGACTTGAGTGACCATGATAATAAGAGAATAATTCAGAAAGGGGGTGGTTTTGGGGAGAAGAGAATGAGTTCTTTTTTGGACATCCAAAACTGGACTCATTCTCTTTCCTTTAGAACATACCTACCCCCATTTCTGAATCTCCCTCTTTCTGTCAAGGATATTACCATCCTTTATTACCTAGCTTTGCAACCTCAGTATTATCTTTGACTCCTCACTCTCCCTCACCCCCACCACATAGTCAGTTGCCAACAACAGTTTTTTTGAAATTGAAAACAAAGGTGGTTTTTCAGTTTTTCTGGATCAATGTCATGTCTGTGCAATTGTGGATAAGTCCATGATGATAGTACAGTTCTGGTAGTTTGGTTGAAATCTATTAGTTTTTGAGGTCTGTATTTGTAAGCATAATGATTTGTCACCTGTTTTTCCATTAAATAAAGTAAGCTTCTGGTGTATAAGTATAACTACCAGATCATGTCTTCTGTTAGGCACTGAATTTGCAAGGCCAGTAGTGATATGTGGCTTAGTTTCTGCTATTTCCTTGTGTAGTCTACATAGATTAAGTCCAACTTCCCTAAGAATAGCCTTTTTTGTCATGTCTGGCAGCAGTGACCTGATCCTGATTTGCCATCATAAAGCCCCTCTTGTTTCCAGAAACAAATCTACATGACTCAGCCATTTGCTTAGTGCTTCCTGTTCAACATATTGCTTACTGGTTGTGTTCATGTGGCTGTCACCTATGGACTGAATGCACTTTTTAATTTCATTCTTGGATCTTAGCTATTTCATAGGTTTTCTCCAGAGATAAGCTGCTTTCAGTTACATTAGACAGATCCGAAAACCTATGATCAACTTTTATTACCATTGCTTGCTACCATTGCTACTTGTTGCAAAAGTGTTTCTGGAGGTTTTGGACCTATTTGCTATGTGCTCTAAGAATTTCCATCAGTCCTCTTCCTCCTTTTTGACAAAGAAGCATTCATCTTTCTATAGCTGCCCTAAGGGTGAGGAGTCCTGTGTTTTCACTAATATTGTACAGTTTTGTTAGTATGCCTTACAAATAAGTACAATTCCAAAAGCATAAATTAAGACAGATACTGGGTAAGTGTTCATTAATTGTGTTAAACATTTTCTTCTCATTCAGCTTTGATTTCAGCATATCAGTAAGTCTCTTAACATGTTTAGCCACAGCCTTGATTTCTGTTCACCTGGAGTAAACCAAGATATCTATAGTTATTGCCTATATCCATTAGTTCCTTGTGACCTCTAAATTCAATCTTGCATCCTTAGTTTTTATCTTTCCGTGTAATCCATTCATACTTCTCAACTCGAAGGGACGTTTTATATTATTGGAGAAAGTTTGTATGAGGTGATGGAGTTGTTAAATGTGGTTTTTGGAGACATGTGGTATCATCTGTATACATAAGGTGACTTTGGTTTGGCTTCCTCTTTAATTTGGAAGCCCATTTTAGTTTAGGAGATGAAAATATATTTAAGACTCGGCAAAACCATAGTGAGTTTATACTATTTCACTGAAAAGTACCATTGTTTTCTATCACTTGTTCTTGACATTATTGTGTTGTTGGTGGGTTTTTAAAATAGAGAATAATTTTCCATGTGGATACCAAATATTCTAGCATATTCACTATACTTGACTTTTTTATAGATTTGCAATACGTGAGTATAAAACTTGAGACAGAAGTTTTCTGATAATCAGCTAAAGCAGTAAAAAAGGTTACAGTGCTTTCAGGCAGCTTTTTCAAGAATTGCCAAGTTAATAAGTTGTTTTGTATGCTCCTGGGACTTTTGTCATACCTTTTTTACTCTTCACTTCATATATTGTTTTCTTGTGTTTATATTATTTTTAGTAATGCAAACTGTCAGTTATTATTGTTCAGTCATTGTCTGATTCTTCATGACCTTGTGGACTACAGCATGCCAGGCCCTTCTCTCCTCCACTAGTTCCCGAAGTCTGTCTAAGGTTGTGTGTTTGTTGTTTCCATGATTCTGTCTATCCATCTCATCCTCTGCCATCCTCTTTTGCTTTTGCTTTCAATCTTTCACAACATCAAGGTTTTTTCCAGTGAGTCTGTAATATCTTGGAATGGCTTCTGAATCTTTTTAAAAAATAAATTATATTCACTGTAGTTTGTGCTATCAGTATTCTAATTCTTTGAAAATGGGTGGTCCATATATAGCATTCATGGTAGCATAAGACCGTTTAACCATAATGCTTGATTGAATCATCTCATAGTATTTGGAGCTGAAAGAGAGGGGAACTCAGACGTCATCTAACCTAACCTTATTTTATATATGACAACTGAAAATGAGAGCAGTCAAGTGGTTGCTTGTCACAGGGTCACAGAGGTGGTTCTTAGCCAGGCAGCAGGCAAATCATGTCATCTGTCTCCAAATCCGGTGTTCTTGTCCGCCACACTATTTTGCCTTCCTTTTGAATCATGCTAGCTAAGAGCATTTAGCACTTTTAAAAAACTCAGTTATAAACTGTTCTTTCCAGTTTTGTGAAAATAGTGTTCAAGGGCTTCCACACTCTGGCTTCAGTGTCCATTTCTCTAAAATGATTCCTTAAAGCCTCCACCAACTATCATGTGTGTTTTTTTTCCTTTTTTTGAAGCATTTTTTTATTATAGACTTAAGTAAATTTAAAGAGGAAAAAAAACTTAATAAATATTAAACTCCATTAGTTCTCTCTGTATTTATTTCCAGTCTGTTAATGTTCTACCTGCCACTTTTTGTTCTGCTTTTTTTAAGCTTTCATTTCACGTAAATTTTTTCATCTTTGTTTAGCCAGTTTTCTTGTCTTTAAATAGCTTTTTAAGATTGTACCATATTAATTATTATGGTTTGCTTGGCCATAAACTTAGTGTTGATGTTTGACTGTTTCCAGTTTTCTAGTCTTCTGAGTAGCATTGCTGGAAACATCATTGTAAGGATTGTTATTTTTTTCCCTTCTGAGTTGTTTCCTGGTTTTACTATTTTGTCGCTATTGTTACGTATTTTCAGATTGCTATTAAGAAAGACTAAGTCAGATTTTATAGTGCCACCTATATGTGTGCATATATATATACACACACACATACACACACACACACACTAATTTTCTGACAGCTTCATTAGAATTTTTGTTTGTTAATTTAGTATTTAAATAATGCTACCTGAGAGCTATTTTAATTTAGTTTTCAAAAGCTAGATGCATTTCTCCATGTGATGATTTGTTGTCTCTGTAATTTACTTGCTTTGGCTACCTATTAAGTAGAATCTAAATATTAATTTAATATATTTGTTCTAGTCCTTTATTTATTTTGAACAGTAAGTTTTTGTTACTTATGTTTACCACTTTCACATTCCGTTGCTCTTCTTTTTCTTCTTCTTATGTTTCATTGTGTAAGATTTAAAATATTTTATATATTTAAACGTATCTGTCTTATCTCTGGCATCCTCTGGTTGTAAAAATAGACTTAAATTTGCCCCCTTCCATGGCTAGGAAAAATAGATAATTCTGTTTTAATAGCTTTTTTTAAATGTTTAAGTCATTGAAGTTTGCACTGATCAATAGTTATTGATCCAAGTTAATTCTTTTCTATACTGTTGTGTTCCCAGTTTTAGTTATAAAATAGTATTTCCTTTTCCCATTCTTATTACTCCAAATTTTCACATATTGAATTCTTACAATGATTCATATATTAGTCTAGTAGAGTAGACCTGATGAGAAGGTTCCAAAATGATTGGTTGAGAAATCCGTGAGTAAGGCAGTCAAGAAGACTAGGGTCG